GTGGCAGCTGCAGAGGGATCTTCACTGGAAGCTGGGAAGCCACATGCAAGATGAAGATAAAGATTGGAACCCCGCGGAAGAAAGAAACCAGCCAAAGCTCACTAAAGTTCCTCCAAAGAAAAGTCACAGGAAGCCCCTCCAAGGAAGATCCTTTGCAATCCTCCCCTGCCCTTCACCTCCCACGTTGTTCCAACAGCAATAAAGTGGATCTTCCACACCCAGAACCACACTGACCCAGTTCAGCTGAGCGCACCCCACCCAAATAAAGTATTAATCATTTAGCCACTATAATGTGTGGTCAAAATTTGGAATCTGTGGAACCACACATCCAATTCTCTATGCATCAGTGTTAAATATGGAATAGTCTCTTCATTTTTCAATGCAACCAAACAAGGTTTTCCATTCAAATTTCCACATTATTATAAGCAGAACCAACAACTGCTCAAGTGAAGAATGAAAACTTATTTCCTTTTCTCCCAGGGTCTGTACTCCTATTTTTTCTCTGTCACTTTTCATTTTCAGGTTAAAACTGTTGAAAAGAAAAGCAAACATCTTCACTTTCTTACTGAGACCAGTCCCACTGCTATCATTTCCTGTTTGAGAAGTGCAACCTCCTCTGAGGGATCTCCCTACCTTGTCGGGATTACTAAAGAATCTTCTCCAGGGAATTTGCACACAGTTATGGTCCCTCTTTATGTGTGCAAGTGAGTACAAATGAACATGGAAAACCACTTAAAATACCCCTTGCCATTATCCTATGTACACCATTTAAATAGCTTCCCATCAGGCTGAGAGGAAATTAAAGTTTCTGCTTGCTTGCTACTGTAAGTACCTCATGCTCTGACCCTGTCTCCCAACTTTCTGTTTTTGTCTTCTATATATTGCAAAAGAATGTACCATCAATCCAAATTATCCTAACTGGATCTGCTAAGCTAACACAGTATCAAGGACCCTGGGTTTGGAATAGATGACACATTTGCCTTTGGGGAATATGAAGTAACAGACACAGAGGCCATCAGGCTGTCACATGTCTCCCATTCAAGGGGAATAAAGCAATCTGAGTGTAGTGCACTTCACACCTTTCACCTTTCTTGTGGTATCTGAATGTGAGACACTTGGGGAGTTAGATCATCCAGGGCTTGTGCCTACCTTCACTCATCAAAGCACACAAATGTCCCAAGATCCTCTAGTTGGATGCATCCCCAGAAAGAGACTTTGAGTCTCTTTTCTGTCCTTCTCTAATGGGAAACTCAGTGAAACGTCAGAAAATGAGAGGAAACAAAAACCTGCCATGGAATAACCCATTGCTGGAGACCAGCTATTCCTTCTATGCAGATGCAAGTTCCTGTGATTTTAAAGAAATTAAAATTAGTGGATGACTGTCAGTGTCCCACACATTATTCTGCCTGCTTTCCATCCAGTTCTTGAGGACGTACTTTAGGTCAGCAGTACATTGCCAGAATCACCATAGACTCATCAACACTAGCAACTAACATAAAAATAATATTAGTCACGAGACTATGAAGTAAACAAACTTCACATTTTTCCAAGAGGAAATGAAGGGTGAGAGAGTAATTTATTTTTTTATAAGTTTGGTAGTTAGAAGATCCAGCCTTTAAATGGAGGTTTGTGCACTCCAGAATATTAGCTGTGGTCCCACTAGGGTGGTCTTATCTGAAAACTCACCACTTCCTTTCCCAATGCAAAAGTGTTCTCTATTGTGCTTGTCATCTTTTGTATTCCTGTGTCAGGGGGATTGGCTTCTGTGAGCCACCAGCTCCTTAGATTCAGGGACCCCCACTTATGCAGATTTGGTCTTTTTTACTTTAGCCAGCGTGGGAAGCATGGTGTGGTCCGTATTTGATAAAGGAAAAGTAGAAAGACCAGTGTGTAATGTATATTGTGCTGAAAACCAAAGGTCACCACTACACAAGGCTTTCCTTGCAAGTAGGTGCTTTTTAAAAGACTTAAATTGATTTCTCTGAACGTGTTTAAGAAAACACATATAGCTCTCATGGTGTGTCAGAAACTGTTCTATGCAGGCATATGTTAATGCATTACACTTTCTAAATAACTCTCCAGGGATAGGGATTATTATTATACTGACTTTACATCTGCAGAATCTGAGGGAGAGGTGTGATAAACATTTTGTCCAAGGCCATAACTGATAAGCAGGAGAAACAAGAGCCATTCGCAGGCTACGTTCACCTCTCTCCCGGCTGAAGCTATGGGCAGCCTTGGAGCTTGAAGTCTTCTGTGAAGACAGGAAGAGAATATTCTTAGGAATTAGGAAATGAGCCAGTTAGAAAGCATAACGGTGCCTATCATGAGGGACTTTTGAACAGTTAAGGAAATGGAGGAGCGTGTATCTCCCCACAGTTCATAGCAAGCAGGATATATCTGCCACCTGGCAAGAATTAAAGGCTCTGTGACGGCCCTGCAGATTGCATTCATTTAGTCTGCTCCACGCTCACTATTTCCAAGGAAACAAACCAGAGCTGATGTGAAATCGGAAACATACAGCCGCGTACTACACAGTACTTTCTCACACTGCTATGGAGAGGGTCAGACTCTATTTAAAACACATTGAAGGAAGGCATTTTTGCTAGGGATGCAGTCTGTGTAATGCCCAGCAGAGAAGGAATGCGGCCCATCCATCCCACCTCCCAGGAGCCTCTGCCTCTGACGGCAGCTACCACGGGAACTAAGTCTCCGTTACAGATGCTCTTAAACACGATACGAATGTGCCAAGCACAGAATTTCATTAAAATATTTTCTTGGATATGAGCCCTGTCAAAGTGAGTTTTTAAATTCACAATAAAATATATACATGGATTCGTCAGTACATCAAAACATTTCTCTGTCTTCAAAACTACACAGAAAGATTCAGAAGAAAGGATGAAAATGTTCCACATTAAAAAAAAAAATTCTCAGAGGAATTCAATATATTCATAGCTTCAGCAATGATCGCCAGACTCTCTGGAGTCCACCCACACTGTGGATGCTACACAAATTTGTTTGTTGTGAGTGTAACAGACCGTGGCATAAGACTGTATTGCTAAATGAAAAGTACGAAATGATAACACCTCCCCCGAGCTGAAATAAAATGCATCGTGCCAATATGAATATGGAAACATGAGGTAGATTAAATTGTGCATCTACATTTGCATATACAGTTCAATCACGCACAGTATTTCTTTAGACAATGTGGTCTTTCACTGCCATTTAAATACACAAACAGATAAATCCTAATATTTATGCTTATAGTTATATCTGGTACATTTGTTTATAAGATCAAGTAAATTCACTTCATATTTACATTGTTAATAGACTACATAATCAAATAATTTGTTATATTATTAAAATATGTACAGATAGATACAGTATAAAGATATATAAGCAAACTTCACACAGGCATCATACTTTGTCAATGAAATTATTCCATTTCCACAGGATCACACTCTGCTGAAAGTAGAAATTCAATTCAGAAATGAAAATCACACCTCGAGGACCCTTTGGTCATTGCTCTAAGTCTTCTGTGCCCGGCCTGTCACTTTTACCCTACCTGAGCTGTGTGGTATGCAATATATTTTGGGATCCATGAGTGATAGTTTTACTGGAAACTACATCTTATTATAGAACTACACATCCGAAATCATTAAGGAAATTACTGTTTTTATTGTCTCTGTAAGTGTTAGTGCTCTGTAATGGGAACACAATATTTACTGCATTCCTTCTCATACATGCTAAAATAAAGTACCTGCTTATACCAATGTCTAATACTTGCAATGGTGAGGTTATTCTCAAGTGAAAAAGAAAATCCAAAAACCATTTTTCTTGTCTCTTTTTTCCTACTGCTCTAGATCGCTTCTGTAAGTTTTCCCTGCTAGCATTGATTAAGGCAGTTCCAGGCCACACTCTTCTGCTAAGCAGCCCTTTGTGGTTCCAAATAAAGTCACTAAAATGTGTCCTGGAATATGAGACACAAGGTGACTTGCTCAAGGATACTTTTAAAAAGGTATCACTTTACCTGTAATCATATGTGATTAAGTTTTCTAGTCTCTAAACAAAACTCTAAAGAAGAGAAGCACTTGCGGTGGACACCTTTACCTTGGGGATGCTTCCTGTGAGACTGTATCATGCCAATATGAATGTGGAGAAAAGCTATGCTTTCTGAGGCCCTGCTCGGTGATGACTGAATCCAGCTGTGACTAGTGCTGTCAGCAGGGTTGTGGGGTGCAGTGGGGCATCCTTGTACCAGGGAGCCTGAGGACACAAGACCTTAAGCACTCAGCTCACAGCAGCACAGGTGTATGAGCAAACGTATACTTAAGGTAAATCACAAAGAAAACTCAGAGGATCAAGCGAGTTGTCTCCTCTGGGAAATCCCATCTGATCTAAGCGCTCAGGACAGTGTGCTCAGCTCCTGACTATGACTTGTGATTCTGCAAACCCAGCACTTCCTGCAGTACATTTGCTATTATGGGCAAGTTACCTCATGCATCTATCCTGGCTTTCTTTTTTTTTTTTTATAACAGTGGTTATAAAGAGAAATAATAGGAGACAAGGTGATGCAACTTACACAAAAGAGAGCAGGACCAAAAGATGGAGGGAGAAGAAAGCTAGGTGAAAGATGGGACACAAGAAAAGTAAGACATGTTATACACATGTACCAATTCCACAGGGTCAATGCACACATTATACACTGCAAACATACATAGATAAAATATTCTCAAAGTAAAATTTAGAAAAAAACATGAAGCGTGATTATAAAAGGAGTGCTCTCTGTGTCTGGGGAGAAGATGAAGTATAAAACAAATAAGTATACTGAAATGAATCTTTATTTTAATATTAAAGGCACATATGCTAACTATACTGATAGAATCATCTGTGCACACATAACTGCACTAAACAGAAAGAAGAACTGGGGGAGAGTTAACCTCTCTGTATCAGATGCCATTGTGAGGCTGCGCGTTTTATTCACTTATTTTTTTTTTCCACATCAGACAGGTAATGTACTGACATCATAACTAGGTTTGAGGGAGGGACATCTCACGCATATGGCATGGTTTTGGTTCACAGTCATTATGCTTGTGAACCAAAAGATCAAATGTTTTTATTAAAACTGTTTCATTTTAGAGCAGCTCTAAGTTATCTGACGAGCTGAACAGAAAAAACAAGGATTTCCCAAAAGCCAGTGTCCAAATCGGTGTACAGATTCTGTCCCATTATCACGATCTCCCACTGCTGTGGGATGATTGTGAACCTACACTGACGTGGCTATCACCCAGTGCCCAGGGTGCATGACAGTTGACACCATTAGTATGGGCTGCTTGCTGTGAGACTGGTGAGCTCAGTGGCTTTGCCAGAGTTTACACTCAGTTTTGTATACTTCATGAATTTGACTGCAATTATTATGACATTTATACAATGTTACTATCATACTTTTGCAACTTGAAAATTCTGTGTTCAAAATTGTTCATCTCCTAAACTTTGGCAACTAATTGATTTTTTTAATTATCTCCATTGTGTTGCATTTTCTAGCATGCTTCAGGGTTGGATTCCCAGTATAGACTTCTCAGAAGAGTAATGTTCATTAACACTTCTGCATATGTCTCATGGCTTAATAGCTCTTTCCCTTCAGCACTCAGCAATTAATACATTGTTTGGAGGTACCATCATTTATTAGTTCTTCCTCTACTGAAGAACATCTTGGTTGCTTCCATGTTCTTACAAGGATAAATAAAGCTATTGTAAAAACATACAGATTTTTGTGTGGGTGTGAATTTTTAAATGCTTTCTGTAGATACAAGGTGTTCAGTGGACGGATCATATATTAAAGTGTGCTGCATTTTGTAAGGAGGCACCAAACTCAGTTCCAAAGCACCTGTATTATTTGTTTGTCCCGCCAGATGTAAATCAGTGTTCCTGCGGCTCTGCATTCTCTGCCACATTTGGAGACGTCGGTGTGGTGAGCTTTGGCCTTTCTCATGATCCCGTATCTGCCACGCCTAATTTGCATTTTCCTCATGTCTGGAGCTTTCTCCTTTGGGATGGTACATTCAACTTGTTTACATCTGATTGTTGACTTCTAAGACTTGTTTGTCTAGTGGTGGTAACAAATTTTTATTTTTATTAAATTTTATGATTTTTTGCAAAAAAAAAAAAAGTTTTTTTCCAGTCTGTATGTAGCTTGGGTCCCATTGATTTAGCATTATCCTTCACAAAACGTAAATTTTAATACAGTCCAGTTTGTTGATTATTTCTTTCAGGGAACACACTGTGTTTTATCTAATAGATTGTCATCATAGAGATGGTCATACAGGTTTCTCCTATACTATTCTCTAGGAATTTTAGCATTTGCCATTAACTAATTTTGAATTAGTTTGTGAGCAGTGTAGTCACTGTTGTAAGATATGACATGATTATGTTTCTGTGAATCTATTTTGGGGCCCTCTGTTGGTTCCATTGACTCCGTTGTCTCTTGTCACCCAGGCATACTGTCCTGATTATGGCAGCTTCACCACGAGCCTTAAAATTAGTGCCAGAACTCCAACTGTGTTCCACTTACAGCTAGGCATCTATTTAACATTGAGGATGGACATTAAAATAAAAGTTAATGATGATTGAAGTATAATTTGTTGAGGAATTAGGGAAAATGAAAGGAGAAATGGAAACTGTCACAAGTAATAATGGAAGTGAATGTCTAGGCCATGAATTAGGAATTAATTTAGATTGAAGATCTTCAAGAGACATGGCTTGATGAAGCCTTGGTGCCTGTTGAGGGCTATAGCAAGAGTTTTCTTTTCCTTTCCTTCACTTTCCTTTCCTGTTCTTTTCTTTCTTCCTTTTTTATCCCTTCTTCCCTCCCTCTCTCTCTTTTCCTTCCTTTGCTTCTTTCTCCTTTCTGAAAAGTGAGTGCAAAGTAAAGAATTAGGAGACACGAGTGAAAGCTCAGCAGAAGAGAGGCAAGGAGAGCAGGGAGAGCCAAGGGAAAGGTCTGTTTCAGGAGTGCAGGGAAATGAGAGGACACAAGAGGAAAGTGGGCCTACAGAGCACCTAAGTTCCTGTTCAAAGACAGAACCCACTTTGTGGCAAATGAACCTCACATATAATTCTCTTGGCTTTTATACTGTTTCATTGGTTTTTGTTTCTAGAATTCTTTTCTTGTGTGCTGAAGAAAGGCTCGGCTGCAGTGGCTCCTCCAGCCTTAGAGCACATCCTTTCCTCGCAGTCCCTGGCCACCGACACACAAATGCTAGGTATGTGGGAGCCTTCTAAGTTCTTCAGGATGCAAACCCTGATCCTGCTCAGGAGGTGCTAGGCGCAGCCTCTTTGCTCTGGGAGCCTGTCTCACATCTCCCCAGGCTCACCAACTGCTGAAATCTCTGGCAAAAAAGAACTTAAGGAATAGTTTTTAACCAGGAGCTGCCAGTAGGCCCATAACAGGAGTTCGTAACATAGCTATATTCACTGCTGGGAGCTGTAGCTAAAGGGATTCTCTGACTAATGTGAATTCTTCCCAAGCATGAAGGTTTAAGGCAGATTCAATTAAACAGGATGAAGGGAGACAACTCAATCAGAAGCAAGGAGTGAGTATGTGTGATTAAAATTATAGGGGAATCAGAAGGGTAAAACAGTGTAAGACTTTGAGCAAGGTTTTGGATGGTTCTACAGGATGAAGTGAGGATTGCTTCTGTGTCAGTTGCCTATGTGATATCACAGAGCAGAAATCAGCAAGGCACGTGGCTGTGCACAGTGTTTGAACCAGTCAGAGAAGGAGCTGAAGACACATGGGGCTTAGGAGTAACAAGGAGAGGCAGATGCCTGTGTGTGCGAAGTTGGTGAGACATTGTAAGTACTTCCCAATACACGGACAGAATTTGGTTTCTACCCCACCTTTTGAGCCTTTGTAAACACATGCAAGGTATGAATCTTTTAAAGATGCATGGAAGTGTAACAAGCTCTTAGGTGATTAAATGAGTCAGTGTTTTAAAAGAGAATGGAATGATCCTTTTTATAGTGGAAATACCGAATAAGTACCATTACAGCTTCTCATGTCTGGCCTCTGGTTCAGGTCTTGAATTTTCATTCTCATTTACCCCTAATTAGCACGTATCAGAATGACCACTCTGCTGGCAGAAGTATGTCATCTTATTCCATTAAATACAATTCTTCAATGTCCCTCCATCACTGGAGGGTAGCCCAGCCTATTAGCTAAAACCCAGCTCCAACTTGGCGCTTGACAAACTTTCCTCTTTTATTCTATAACCTTTGTCTTCTAACCCTTGAACTACAGGCTTTCCAGATTGAGGTATACCATGATTTTTCTTGTGTCCCCTTATTTACCCATTTAGAGACCTGACTCTATTGCTCTCACCTCCTTCAGTACCAGGAGGCCTTAACTGAAATCCTAAATCTGGTGTAAATCTCACTGTTTTAGTGTAATTCCTTATACTACATAGTGGAACTAAAAACACTCTTTTCTCTACACTGAGTTCATAGTTAAGATAATTATGTGCCCTTACGTAAGTCATTGGAAAAAATACTTGCTTGTTTATTTATCAGTCCATGGGTTGCTATTCATGGTGTTGTGGATACTAAAAGTTCAGAGGTGACAAGTCCTAGTATTTTCAAAAGCAATACTTTGAAGCATCACAGAGTTTTAATGAAGGTTATAAAACAGAGGAATCACTAAGTAAGTATACTAAAACTATACAATTTTGGTAAAACAGTATTTCATCCTATCCCAACCTACACCTCCATTATCTTCAGGAAAGATGTGTAGTTATTGGAATAAAAGTCACCTCTTTATAAACAGTTTTTAATATACACATTCCCAGGCAATAAATGATGCATCAGCCATATGACACTGGGTGTATATTTTCATCTAGGGAACATGAGAAAGACTTTGGTGAAGATGTTTATTAAGGTTTTAAATTTCAACCTCACTTTCAAGAAAGAAGAATCAGAAAGTGATCCACACTCCAGGAAGAACTCACAAAGGAGTAGCGAGCAGACATGAACAAATAAATTCCTATCAGTTGGGAGACAACTCAAGTCATGGGATGGTAGGTACAATCTTTCATAAATACAGTAATTCAGCCAAAATGAATCTCAGAATATGTGATTCAAAAGTGAAATAGAAACAAAAGTAAAATAAGTCAGGTTCTCATAAGTTTTATTTTGCTTTTCCCCTGTGAAGAAGGGAAGCAGTCATGAGGAAGAGGAGCCAGGGAGAGCATTAAAACAGAAGCTCTTGTGCAGTGGATTTTGTTTAGAGATTCATTTCTTAAAACACTGCCATAACTCAGAGAACCCTGATGCAGGAGACAGCTGGAATTGATCCGAACGCTTAGAGGCTGGCATTAGTTCCGCAATATTAAGTTAAAATTAGTATAGAGGAGAAAGCAAAGTTCATACAGATTTTTGCTTCAGTTCCTTATAGCGTATAAAGATGAAATGACTTATAATACATGACCAGGACTTGTTTTCTTCAGAGATCTCTCAATTTTTCATAAAAAATATGATTAGAAAGTGTTTCTTACTAAGCATATAGATATGTTTTAGTTTTATTGCAATTAATAGCAAAGAAATTTTACTCTACATTTTACATAAAACAAGTATTTCCAAAGAATTATTTATTTCAAACTTATGAAGGAAATATTTATACATACATTAGTAAAACTTGCATATATTCTATTCAATATACAAGACAGATTATTGCCAGCAGCAAATTCATTTGCAAAACCATCAATTACATATTGTCCATCTGATACCAAATGATTGCCTTTAAGGCCAGGTTAAATTTTATCAGTAGGAAATCTCATTCCTTCCAAAGGCAAGTGCTCACACAGTCAGACATATCTGCGATGTCTAATCAGGCCAAATTATTCATCCACACTAAAAATGCTAGACCAAGCCAATTACTTTTTCAAGTCACATAATTACATGCAAATTTGGAGGGCCATATATCAGCAACAGAAATAAAAGCAATATACAGACTCTTCTTATTTATTCTCTGCATTGAGCACATGTTATGCCAAGCAATATGTAAACCTCGTTGAAATTGTAAAAATGACATTGGTTTGTCTATGGATATAAGAT